GCTTGAGGCGCCGCAGCACTTCTTGACGTTGATTGAAGCGCGTCCACCATAGACTTTGTATGTAAACCTGATGCTGAAATCGTATTCGGTGTGAACACACCATCAGTCTGAAAATTTGACTCAAATTAAGTCAAAAAATTCTGCCAGTGGAGTATGAAAATTTTACTTGGTAAGATTCTTGAAATACTTGATTTGACTCATTTTTTTTTCTTATTTCAAGAATCTTACCAAGTAAAATTTTCATACTCCACTGGCAGAATTTTTTGACTTAATTTGAGTCAAATTTTCAGACTAACAAGACAAATAATCTTACTCATTCTGAAAACAAGATGATTATTCTTACACAACCAGTTCTTGTTTAGTAAATCAGTCTGAAAACAAGATCAAAAAGACTTTTGACCAATATAATGTTTTAAAACTTGGTAAGATGGACAGTTTTTGACTGTCATCAGTTGATAACAGTCATTCAGATTGTTTAATTTTCAAACTCTTTGATTTGCACTGAGGTACATGAAATATTTACTGTTTGATGATCTGGAAAGTGTTGCTGGGAGAGATCAAGTCATTATGTGGTAGCTTACAGACCTGTTTATAATATTTTTTTACTATGTTGTGTTAAACTAAAGTTTTTCCGTGTATCATTAGGGCTCTGGCTGATATGAACAGTGATGGCCGTATGGACATCCATGAGTTCTCCATCGCCATGAAGCTCATCAAACTCAAACTCCAGGGTCACCCTCTGCCCCCGACGCTTCCCCCCAGCATGAAACAACCTCCACTAACTTTACCCCCACCCACTGGCTTTGGTAAGACCCAGAAGTCATGCTGCACCTGTGTGCCGTGTTTTAAATAGAGATGTACCAATACCACATTATTTCAACCCAAATACAAGTACTTGCATTAGAGTACTTGCTGATACAGAGTAATAAGTATTAATCATGTGAGGCACTAAAATAATAAAAAACTAAATTCCATCACAATAAAACACAGATAATTGTAGAATTTGTTTTATTTATTTAGTGTAATAAGGGGCCATGGTAGCTTGGTGGTCAGTGCTGCAGGTTCCAGCCCAGGTTGTGTCAGGGTGGACATCCGCAGTAAAACATTTACAAATCATTCATGTAAGTTTGCTCGCTGTGGTGACCCCTGCAGGTAGGAGCAGCTGAAAGAAAAACAACATAACTTGTTTTAAAATCCCATTTTTCACAGGGTTTTTCCCTTTTTGTGGGCAATATAGTGTCCAGAGATAGTTGTAGGTCAAATTTTCTACAGAAGTGCTGATAAATTTCACATTTATTTAATGTTTGACTGTTTCTAATACCACATTTTAAAAGGGTTGAGTGAGACATAATGTAACCTACCTCTCTGTGTAGGGGTGTAAAAAATATCGATACACTGAAATCGCGATATTTCATTTCCCGATACTGTATCGATATTCTAAAGCCCTGTATCGATTTTTTATTAAGCTTTAAAATGTCAACTTTCCTGCCAACTGTTCATTTTTATGTTGTAGTTCAGCCTCTGACCACTAGTTGGCAGCAGTGAGCCAGACATTTGGCTCCTCTACCTCTTGAGCGCCAGAGAGTAAGAGAGCATTAGCATTGTGAGTAAACATTAACTTCATGCTCCGCTAGCTGAATCTGAGCAGAAAAGACCGACACCCTCTGCCTTCTAAGCTGAGGTAAGGTTAGAAGGTCCGTGCTGGTCTCAAACCCTGGTCTCCCACTCTCTGGTCCAACACTCTACCCATTGCCTTATTGGAGACTTCTTGTGAAATGAGCTACACAATACACAACAACACAGTGACGCCTTTTTATACTGAGGAGGTGGAGTCTCACCCGGGGGTTGCTAGGTAAGGGGCTGAATGCAGGTTCTGGTGGGTTATCGTACGGCTTGTGACATCACAAAATGATGGAAGTGTAAAACTTGTCATTAATACACATTAAAAATACATTTACTTACAGTAAATATGCACATGGGTGCATTTTTTTGGTCCTAGGACTGTTTTTTTAAGTACATACCCAAAGTTGAGTAAAAAAACCTTTAAAAAAGTGAATTTTGCATAATAGGTCCCCTTTAACGGAAACACCGCAGTTGCAAAACTGTGTTTTTTTTACATTAACAGAATATCAACAAGGTTTTGAGCACATTTGTAATGGAAACGCAGCTACAGTTTAATTCTTCATAAGACTGAATCTGTCTGATCATTACTTCTGGACCTCGTTCTCCTTCCAGGCTTGCCCCCTATGGCCCCCATCCCAGCCCCTCTGCCAGGCGTGCCTCCTCTCCCCCTGCCTCCTCTTCCTGTTGGGGTGTCTCCCCCTCTGGTTTCATCTGTACCACCTCCCCTCCCACCGCCCATCGCCAACGGAGCTCCTTCCACAGCCATGCTGCCCCCCATCTCAGGCTTCCCTCACCACGGTAAGAGAACGTCTCTGTTTGTGTTTAGTCTAAGCTTCTGTTAACACAACACAAGATTTTCTTCTGTACAAAAATGGGTTTTAGCTTTTTTAAATATTGTTTATGAAGCAGAGTGTTTGACGTCAGTCTAAAAGCTTCTCTTCTCTGGTTTTCTCAGCTCCTCCTGTGAACAAAACCGCTTCGTTTAATCGTTCCAGCACCAAGCTGCAGAAAGGCTCCTCGTTCGATGCTGCCGGGTGGGTCAACGAGTCCAAGAGACCTGTGCAGTTAAAATGACATCAAGTGGTGGAGACAGTGGGCCGCATGCCAGAACATTTTCATATTCTTATCCTAAATTTATCTTACTTTTGTTCGTACAAAGGGTTCGTACGAACATGTCACGTCAGATTCAACAAACTCTTCTATCTTCAGGAAAAGTGTGTAAATGAGCTGCATAAACTGATGAATGTGTATCAGCTGCTCGTGCACGAGAGAGGAGATTAGCATAATTATCACCCTAAACACACCATACAAGGCTATGTTTCCTGCCCCACATACCAGGAAGTGTCCATTTATAAATGACATCACAAAGTAAAAAAGAAAAACTTTACAAGTTCAGAGATTGAAGTTCTGCTCTCAGAGATCCAGAAAAGAAAATCTGTCATTTTTAGCAGCGTCAACTGTGGAATAAAAGGAGCTGCTGTTAATGTGGGTCGTACAGTCACAGAAATAAAGATCTAAATCATATTCATCTCTCTGTAGTCCTGCTCCGGTTTTCCTTTGGTCAAATATTTTTAATTTCAGTGGAAACAACTGTGTTACATAGTTTTCATTTATTCAGAAGAAGAGCAGTCGCACACCGTTAGTCTACATTGTTACATTTAAAATTATAATTCCAATTCAAACAGAATAAGTTGTTGTCAACATAATTATGGAGTGTGATTTATTTTCAACTCAAAATATTTTCAAACTAATGAAATATAAAGTTATTAGTGAAGAAAATCTGTCTGGATAACAGCAGACTGACTGCTGGTAAAATATACGACAGGTCTGGACCACTCCTGAATTTTGTTCGTATCTGAARAAAATCTTAGAATAYGAAAACATTGGTGAATGTCACAAATTCTCTTAAATCACTCGTACGCACAACTTAAGAACAAATCTGTGCGTACCAACGGTTCTTGCATGACTGACTTGCATTTAATTTACTCATCAAATCTGTGCAACTGTCAGCTGGTTGCGTAGACATCATCAGAACACTTTGCTTCTGTATTTTTCACAAGTCACATCAGTGTTTGTTTGTTTATTTATTTATCTATTTATTTATTTATTTATTTCCCAGGCCTCAGCCCCCCTCTGATTGGGCAGTCCCTCAGTCGTCCAGGCTGAAGTACAGACAACTTTTTAACTCCCATGACAAGATGATGAGTGGATACCTCACTGGTACTTAAACTTATGATCATATTTACTGACCATCACTGACAGATGATGTGCAGTTATTATTATAAGTTTGTTTTTCAGGGGTTTTAAACGTGTAACTTTGTTTGTCTCGTGTGCTTGTTGTTCAGGACCCCAGGCTCGCACTATCCTGATGCAGTCCAGTCTTCCACAGACTCAGCTGGCCACGATATGGTCAGTAAATGAACACAAACTATAAACAAGCAACAAAATAAAAAAAATTACAAATATAATTTTTTTATCTCCCTAAGGAGTTTATCAGACATCGACCAGGATGGAAAACTAACAGCTGAAGAGTTTATCTTGGCTATGCACCTCATAGATATGGCTATGTCAGGTTTACCGCTGCCTCCAGTGTTACCACCAGATTACCTCCCACCAACGTTCAGGTAGACAAGTGTTTGAGAAATGTAAAGAACAGGATCATAATGGTTCATGCAAGTTTTAGCTGTATTTTTATTTTAATTTAAACTGATCTGTGGTAAAATGAACGGTGTTAAGAGTTCAGTTACTGTATGAATGATTTTTGTGTTTTAAAGGCGAGTACGAAGCGACAGCGTTCAGTCGGACCAGAAGAGTGTCCAGGAGGAGATCGAGGAGGAGACTGAGAGCAACCAGGACAAGAAATTACCAGGTGATTTAGTTTTATTAGTGGTCAAACAGGAAGTTAGCCTTCCTCAGCTTTCTTCAGCCATCAAGCATTTTAATCAATGTAAATCTCAGACTTCACCACAGCAGCACTAAACTTCTCTTAGCTGTTGCATAAAAACACCTAAATACTAGTCACTGCCAAGAAATCTGCAGTAAAATAAATAACCAGGGCCTGTATTTATCAAACTTCTTAGAATTACTCTTAAGAATGGGCTTAAGTGTAAAACAATTCTTAGCTAAAAGCTGAGCCTAAAAGTCATTATTCAAGTTTCTCAGGTTGACTTTAAGTGAAGTGTCAGAGTAACTCTTTAATGTCAGTCTTAGAGCTGATTTACTACACTTTGCTATGCCACAAAGCTGATCCTGGATGACGCTACCAAACCCCGGTGTTCTGACGATACAGTATGTGCTACCTCGCGGCTTGATAGCTAGGTCTAACTGTCAATGCTTTCCATGGAAAACTGCTACAGTCATGTTTACAGAAATATGATAATCAGATAAAATTCTTTGAATAACGGTGTTACTGAAGTGGAAGCTTAGGAGTTATGCTTAGCATAGCACTGGAACAATTACTATACACAATGAAAACCTTAAGAGCTAATAATCACAAGAATATCGCCTTCCAAACCTTTTAAAAACAAAAACTATACACCACACCAAATACATACATACATACATACATTTATATATACAAACCCCAAAACCAGAAAAGTTGGCACGTTGTCTAAATCGTAAATAAAAACAGAATACAATGACTTGCAAATCATTTTCAACCTATATTCAGTTGAACACACTGCAAAGACCACATACCTAACGTTCGAACTGGTAAACTTTATTTTTTGCAATTATTAGCTCATTTGGAATTTGATGCCTGCAACATGTTTCAAAAAWGCTGGCACAAGTGACAAAGAAGACAGAGAAATTTGAGGAATGCTCATCAAACACTTATTTGGAATATCCCACAGGTGAACATGCTAATTGGGAACAGGTGGGTGCCATGATTGGGTATAAAAGCAGCTTCCTTGTCATGCTCAGTCATTCACATAGGATGGGGCGAGGGTCACCACTTTGTGAACAAATGCGTGGGCAAATTGTCGAACAGTTCAAGAACAACTTTTCTCAACGAGCTATTGCAAGGAATTTAGGAATTTCACCATCTACGGTCCRTAATATCATCAAAAGGTTCAGAGAATCTGGAGAAATCAGTACACGTAAGGGGCAAGGCCGAAAACCAACATTGAATGCCCGTGACCTTTGATCCCTCAGGCAGTACTGCATCAAAAACCGACATCAATGTGTAAAGGATATCACCACATGGGCTCAGGAATACTTCAGAAAACCACTGTCAGTAACTACAGTTCGTCGCTACATCTGTAAGTGCAAGTTAAAGCTCTACTATGCAAAGCAAAAGCCATTTATCAACVAGATCCAGAAACGCCGCCGGCTTTGCTGGGCCCGAGCTCATCTAAGATGGACTGATGCAAAGTGGAAAAGTGTTCTGTGGTCTGATGAGTCCACATTTCAAATTGTCTTTGGAAACTGTGGACGTCGTGTCTTMCGGACCAAAGAGGAAAAGAACCATCCGGACTGTTATAGGCGCAAAGTTCAAAAGCCAGCATCTGTGATGGTATGGGGGTGCATTAGTGCCCAAGGCATGGGTAACTTACACATCTGTGAAGGCACCATTAATGCTGAAAGGTACATACAGGTTTTGGAGCAACATATGCTGCCATCCAAGCGACGTCTTTTTCATGGACGCCCCTGCTTATTTCAGCAAGACAATGCCAAGCCACATTCTGCACGTGTTACAACAGCGTGGCTTCGTAGCAAAAGAGTGCGGGTCCTCCCCTGGCCTGCCTGCAGTCCAGACCTGTCCCCCATTGAAAATGTGTGGCGCATTATGAAACGTAAAATACGACAACGGAGACCCCGGACTGTTGAACAACTTAAGCTGTACATCAAGCAAGAATGGGGAAGAATTCCACCTGAAAAGCTTCAAAAATTGGTCTCCTCAGTTCCCAAACGTTTACTGAGTGTTGTTAAAAAGAAAGGCGATGTAACACAGTGGTAAAAATGTCCCTGTGCCACCTTTTTTGCAATATGTTGCTGCCATTAAATTCTAAGTTAATGGTTATTTGCAAAACAAAATAAAGTTTCTCCGTTCGAACATTTAATATATTGTCTTTGCATTCTATTCAGCTGAATATGGGTTGAAAAAGATTTGCAAGTCATTGTATTTTGTTTTTATTTATGATTTACACAACGTGCCAACTTTTCTGGTTTTGGGGTTTGTATAATTTATTAATTTAATGAATTTAAATTTATTAAATGAAACTTCTACAGGTAGCGCATATCAACATGTAATCTGTTGAGTAAGCAACCTGTGACATAACATCGATCTGTGCATTGCCACAAGGTAGGATGGAGTGATGGGTAGCACAGAACGTCCGAACACCGGCATGGACCAATCACTGCCTCGCACTTCATGTTCAAGAGTATAAAAGTGTGAAAATCCTAAACTAACTTCAGTTTCAACACAATAATGTTCATACTGTACATGTCATGTTGTACTGATTGTCTGTAAATTACAAAAAATGGCCTCATTTGCATCATGAAAACAGACCTAAAGACAATCTCACAGATTTTTTTTGTTGAAAAACTTAGCTTTAAAGTTGTTTATGTCTCAGAGCCTGAGGAAATGTTGAGCTTGTACCCTCCTACTTTCCACGAAACTGCCCGCAGACAACACCCCATTCTGAGGACCAGCCCCCACAGAATACGTTACAATAATGTGCTGAGTGTGCAAGACTAAACATAAATGTAAAGGTTCTGTGACAGACTGCTTTTGTTTTTACACCAGTGTTCACCTGCACAAAATATCATCTGTCTGTGTCATTATTAGAGGTGTCACAATACAACTTTTTCACTTCCAATACGATACAAATATTGCAACTTAGAGAATTGGCGATACCAATATATTGACCCGATACCATATCAGAATGAATCACACACTTTTACCTATTTTGTAGTGTGAAATCTTAGAAAAGTCTTGATCAAGTCAAACAGTGAAAAAGAGTTGGTATGAGAAAAACTGACCCATTTATTTTCAACCAATGGATCACATATATTTTAAACTGAAGAACATTCTACAATTTAATAAATAAATTAGAAGACCCTGAAAAATAAAACATTATAAAAACAAAATGTACATTTAAAGTGTAAAATAATAATACAAAATCACTCCAGTTATTGTTTTACTACCTGTCAGCCTGACACTGCTTTATGGTGGAAAAAACTGAAGGTGGGGACAAAACAAAACCCCACATTATTGTCCAATGTCCAACTGTTCAAAGTTAAGAGTCTACAGCTCCAATTTTACTGATTGTGCCCAAAACAACATGATCATTGCACTTAATTTTCACTAAAACAAGTGTGTAAACAGATTAAACATCACTAATAACAATTGCAAAAAATAAATAGTAAGAATCAGTTAATTAAATTGATAGCTACCTTTCTTACTGCTGCAGTTCCACTTTCCACAGTGTGAGCATCATGTGGAGATTAGCCTCTCTCTTGTTAGAACACAGTTTTTATCACTGCTCTCACCATGTCGCGCTCGTATTCCAAAACAAAAGCTGCACTCTCCTTTCTTCTGTCAATCAATCCCAGAGCTAATCCACGGGCAGAATTCTGCTGATGTCAAAACTGTAAGTGTGCTGTACTCGCTTATAGAAACACCAACCGGACCAGAGAGGAGGTTCTGAAACAGCATGGCTGTGTGAGGTTGGAAATAGAGACACACTGGACCGAGACGAACCACAAAGCTGCTGCCAGGGTGGAGAGCAGAGCCTGGTTGTCTCTCCGGTTTAAAACTCACACGGTTCTGTGCCCCCACAGAAAACTTGTGCGTGACAACTTTGCACTTAGCTTCAACTCTGTTTCTGATGAAAATAAAGTACTGCCAACATCACTCCTACTGCTTGCTAACTTGTTAGCGCAGCATTTTGTTGTGATCACATGGGCTCTGCTGGATAGAGAAGCTGGAGCGGAGTCAGTGGGCTGCTGGAATGGACAGAGTGCTTATTTATCAGAGATTTTAGATGCAGGCTGATAAAATCCCATAATTGCTTTTTGGCTGATATCGGACCGATATCAGTATGGGATCGGGACACCCCAACTCATTAATACCATCAGACTTTAAGATGAACAGAAGTCATGTGTGGTCTTCATCACAGCTGCTTCACTTCATGTAAAATGGGTTGAACAGACAGATACACAGCATGCATTAGCATTTGTTTTATTTTTGGTACAGAAATAATGAATCCCGCTAATGTTTGTCACTTGTCCTGTTTTGCAAGAATTTGCTTTAAAGGTTGTTGTTTTCTTGTTTCCGTTCTGACCTCAGTGACGTTTGAGGATAAGAAGAGGGAAAACTTTGAGCGAGGAAACCTGGAGTTGGAGAAGAGACGTCAGGCTCTTCAGGAGCAGCAGAGGAAAGAGCAGGAGAGGCTGGCTGCACTGGAGCGAGAAGAACAGGAGAGAAAGGTCCATCACCTTGACATTTTCTATTGATTTATGGTCACTGTCATAACATTTACAGGCCTGACTGTGCAACACATCATCTCTTGTGTGTTAATAAGAGTAAAAGTGTAAAGGACATGAATGATGAACTGGTTTTCAGGAGCGTGAGCGTCTGGAACAGGAAAGAAGGCGACAGCAGGAACTGGAGAAACAGCTGGAGAAGCAGAGAGAGCTGGAGAGGCACAGAGAAGAGGAGAGGCGTAAGGAGATCGAGAGGAGAGAGGTAAACAGGACGAGGACAGAGTTTACAGCTTTCTGTCTTTAAACAGGAGCTGCAGCTCACAACCACTGCCTGAATATTAATAACTGCAAAAAGACTCAGTTATTTATACTGTGGAACATTTACAGAAAGTACAACAAGTATTTATACATCTGAGACGTTTGATAAAAAGTAATTTAAAACAGAATGCAATGATTTGTAAATCTCATAAAACATTTTTTATTCACAGTGAAACATAGTTTAGACATATATGCTTACTAACATTTTTATAAATTATATTACAAAATATAAATTATTTCAAATCATATGGCAGCATTACGTCAAATAAGTCAGAACAAAAGCATCAGAAGGAACAGGAGGTACAAATATTTTACATCCACTTGCTGTTATTCACATATAAAACCCCCAATATCATTCAGTGTGTGTGTGTGTGTGTGTGTGTGTTGTGGGGGGATTATACACAGGAGTAAATACATTTTTTTAGTGTTCAAGCACAATAAGTTTCAATATTTTCTTGTATAAGTGAAATATGCCCCCGCCCTCCTGTTGTAAGTGTCTCATGCTGAAACATGTAAACAGTAGTTGTTCACTCACCGGAGTCAGAGGAGAAAAACTTTTTTTTTTCTTGTTAACCGCAGTGATGTAAAAAATAGACTTGGACTTTATTGCATGTTTTTATAAATCCATTAATATTTTACAAACCTGCTCCATGATGCTGATGTTCCATACTGCCAGTTTTCTTCCCAATACTGATACCAAGTAAAATTTGACTGGTATCGGGAATATTGAACCGTTTAGCACAATTTAATATTCTTATCCTTAAGAAATATAATAATTTTGAATAGTAAATAAAAGTGAGAAAAAATATTTTAAAAGTTGTTACTTTGTATATTTTGTAGCATTGTTTGTTTGCAAGAAGGCCCTTGTCCAGAACTAATGCTGTTTGGGGGGCCATGGCATGAAAAAGTTTGGGAACCCCTCATCTAGAATTTCATTAAAGTCAAAAGAAGCAGATTTTATGTTAAAATGACCTGCCATACACGTACAGACTGAGTGACTGACGGAGCACATGCCACTGTGCACATGTGTTACCCAAGCAGAAGAAAAAGTAGTTCCCTCCAACCACATGTTTAAGATGAGATTTGAATAGTTTAGTTATTTTCCACTATTTTCCTGTTAATGATAAACATTATGTGAAATAACTAAAGTATCAAAGTATCGATATTTTGATTTTAGTATCAATTCTAGAACACAAAGTTCTGGTAACGGTAGTATCGATATTTCAGTATCGATCTGCACGTCACTACTGGGAGCGTTGGTTTTTTTTTCAGTGACACGCAGAAGCTTAAACTTTGACTGCAGGTTTTCTGCAGCTCTGCAGCAGAACACACCTACGTTAGTGTGTCTCCAAATAATGTTTCCCCAGCAGCGGGTGCACCACAAAGACTGAAACAATGATGATCATATTATACTTCAGATCATATAATAGATGAATAAATACAACAGTTTAATAAATATCAGCAGGTCAGTCAGAGCAGTGGAGAAGCTGAATCTGTCAGAAGTTCAAACAGGTTCAGCAGTCTGAAGAAAAACTGAGTCTAAAACCAGTGGAAGTCATTCAGAAAAACATTTCTCTGCAGAAAACAGTGACGACTTTGAATCTCCATCATCTCCAGGTCATAATCTGACCAACTGATTATTATAATCTGTGATAATCTCTGAGCTCAAAGGCTTAAAGTCAATATTACATGGTCATGGCCTTCAGTTCCTCATGGTCCACTGCATTAAAAACAGGTCTGGTTCTGTTCTGGACCTCCCTGCATGGACTCAGGAACACTCCCACAAACACGTTCTGTAAAGCCTCCAGAGCTGCTCTCAGTTCCAGATGTTTACAGAAGAGGAGATGCCTCTCAGAGTGAAACATCTGGAACAGTCAATTAGATTTGATGTGTTTCTGTCACCACCGTCTCATTTTAAACATTTTATATGTTTCATGTTCCAATGTGTGGAAAATATGGGTTTATGAGGTACAAGTGTGTGTGTGTTAGCTGGAGTGTGTCTGCAGTACTTGATGCTGTATTGCAGTGTTGTGATTTAGTTTTTGTCTTCCAGGCTGCTAAGAGGGAGTTAGAGCGGCAGCGGCAGCTGGAGTGGGAGAGGCAGCGCCGCCAGGAGCTTCTGACTCAAAGAAACAGAGAGCAGGAAAGTATCGTCCTGCTCAAAGCCAGAAAGAAGACCCTGGAGTTTGAACTGGAAGCTCTGGTAATTTAAAGTCTCGTCTCAACATTCAGTCACCTACACAAACAGTAGAATCTTGTGCTCATACTCAGGAAGAAGCATCTGGATTAAGTCCAGATTAAATCCTTGAAGACGTAGCTAACAGGAGCTTCCTGTCAGAGCTAACTATCTGCAGGAAACGCTTGTCAAAGTGGACAGAGACCACCCTCAGCCTGATGAGTCAGTCTCAGGTCTATATTCTGTTCTCCAGAACGACAAGAAGAACCAGCTGGAGGGCAAACTGAAGGACGTTCGCTTTCGTCTGTCGGCTCAGAGGAGAGAGATGGAGCAGACCAATCAGACCAGAGAGACACGCATAGCTGAGATCACACAGCTGCAGCAGCAGCTACAGGTACAAACACAAAGTGTCAGTAAACAAATACACAAGTTCATGCCTCACTGGGAAAAACCCAGCATAAATTCTGTGTATTTATTTATTGTTGTTGTGGTTGAGTGCAGGAGTCCCAACAGTGGCTGGGGAGGCTGATTCCTGACAAACAGAGTCTGAATGAGCAGTTAAAACAAGTTCAGCAAAGCAGTCTGCACCGTGAGTGACTCCAGACATTATTTTATATCTTCTTAACCCTTCACGTTCTGATAAGATGATACGCCTAAAGAGAAGATGAAATGTCTTGTTTATGTCGTGTTTACCTCACGCCTCATGCTGTGTGTGCAGACGACAGCCTGTGTTCGCTGCAGAAGGCCGTTGAGCAGAAAGAGAGCAGCAGACAGCAGCTTCGAGAGCAGCTCGATGCTGTGGAACGAGAAACGAGAGCTAAACTGCTGGAGATAGATGCCTTCAACACACAGCTGAAGGTAAATAAATGTCTTTCTACACATAGCAGTGCTTTTATTCTCCTTTAACTCAACTACTAATGGACCTGCTTCACTACATTCAGGCTAGCTGTAATATACAGTAAACTTAAAATAGTTTCAAGTGTAAAAACATAAGACAAAAAAATCAAACACAAATCTGAATTCACTTACAGGATGTCATAAAAGGTTTTATTACATTTTTGGTTGTATTTTTTATAATATAAAACTTTTATTGTCCTTTTCAATAATTAAACCACACATTTATTGCTAATAAGTCAATTACTTCTGTCATTAATCTTAAAAATTAATTTACAACTCTGTAATAGGAATGTGCGATACAAATGATATAAAACTGGCCTATGATAAAGATCTGTTGTCTACCCGCCAACCACCAGTGTGTGTGTGTGTGTGTGTGTGTGTGTGTGTGTGTGTGTGTGTGTG